CAGTTGATGCAAGAAAAAATTTCTTTTTAGCTTTGAAAATTCCTTAACATGTAATGCGCCCAAGTTCCAAGAAGGAAGATAGTGAAACTGAAGAAAATAAAAAGCTTTTGCAAAGTCTATCTAAACTTCTATGATTGTAAGGCAAGCCAAAAAAGAGGCACAACATGCAATACAATGACACTCTTGAAGATATGGTACTTGACACTATCATATAAATATATGGTATTTGACAAATACATAAACTAGCAAAAGTGCATTTAAATATATTGAAAAGAAAAGCATATACCAAATATCACATGAACTAGTCACTATCAAAGATCGATAAGATTGAAAAATTCTTCCTTACATTTCAAATTGAAAAATCTTTAAAGGTTTTATGATTCTTCTAGCCAAGTGGTTGGCTAGTAACAAAAGAGGTTTTTAGAAGGTGTAAATTAATGATAAATTGATGGCAATTTTACTACATCTATACAATTTTGCAAGATAAATATCTCCTTATTTATTTTGAAATCCATTTATCTAATTTTTTTAAGAATATGCTATTGTTACATAAAATGATAACAATGATTATTTCACATAGACATTTGTTATATTACAAGTAGCAATAAAGAGTAGATGGAGTTTTTTTTTTTTTTTTTTTTTTTTTTTTCCCTACTTGATATGAAAAGAAAGCATGTATATAAAAATCAAATATGGTAGATAAAGCTATATTTAAAAAATTATTCTTCTTATATGCAATATCATACTACATTCATATTGATTATAAAAAAAAAAAGGAGGATTAATTAGTATCTATTGCCACAATTTGTATCTGATATTATAAAAGAAAATCTACTTTTATAATGGAGAATCACATAAAGATGATGATAGAAGCATTTTAAATAGGTAATTAAAATAAAAAGTTATGTTTTTATTATATTGTATGAACTCTTGTTTAAGAAAGAACTAGGCACTTAGTTATGGAAGATAAAGTTAAAATTGCAAGAATAAGATCCTAGCAACTCTAATAGAATTGTAAATAAACTCCAATTAATGCCTAAAAATCCTAATCAAACCTTAATCAAATTCAAAAGAAGTCTTAAATAAACTAAAAAAGAAGCATAAAAAATTTAAAAATTAAATTTAAAAATAAAATAAATTCTAAAAAAATAAAAAAATATTTAGAATAATAAATTAAAAATTATATGTAAATTCTAAATAAATCTTAATAAAATTCTAATATAATCCTAAATAAATCCTAAATAAATTTCAAGTAAATTCTAACCAAATTTTCATTGTTACATTAAAATTCCAGTAGCAATTAATTAAAATGTTGATTTTAACTATTTATTTTATTTTATTTTATTTTTACATTTCAATCTTCAAGCAACTAGCAAGCATGCAAAGTTTGGAAAAAATCAAAATTATCAATAGAAATCACGAACTCCTAATATTTTTGGATGTTGGTTGTCTTCCTTCTCCAACTTGAATTTAAATCTTCATGCAGCAATTACTCCTTATTGAATTATTTAAATGATTTTTAAATTAGCAAAAGTATAGATGAACAAGTCCAAAATGCTCTCGCAAATTTTTATTTCATTTGAACTAATGGATTTCTTAAGATTATTAAAAAAAATCAATAATTCTAAAATTTAAATATCTAAGATCCTATTCCAATAAAACTCCCATATTTTTCAATTCAATCATTCAATTGATTTTAAATTTAAAAATATAATTATTTTAAAAAAAAATTCACTTGTAAATTCACTGTCATATCTAAAAATTCCTCATATAGATAAGCCTCTTTTTATTTTTCAGAATTCAATATCTTTGAATACATCTCTTACTTTGGAAATTTCTCAAAAACTCAATATGCATCCAAATCACATAAAAATAATGCTAAAACAACCTTTTCAAAGTTTTTTTTTTCAAATCTTAATCTTTAATTAGCCAAAAACTCCAAAATTGCTATATGAGCATAGTTTTATGCCTTGGGATTTGATTTCAACCTTGGTTTATAACTTGTCTTCTTTGGATATCAATTCTTATTTTTTAAAGATAATTTCTACTACAAACTACTCTCAACACCCTTTGAAAGATGCTCATGTTATTTATTTTTCTAATATTTATTTTTCTTTATTTAAGGCTATTTAATAACCTTTTTAATAAATGAATAATTATAATACTAATAGTCTTTATTACCATCTTATCTTTTATCTATTTTTTGCTACTATATCTTTCAAAAAGGTTCTTTTAAAATAAAATTCATATTTTTATATTTCACCAAATAGTTGTATTACAACACAACACACTCTTAGGATTCAGCTGAAAAAATCATGCATGCCAAATTTGTGTATTTGATGATTGAAGATTATTGTCTACAATCAGATAAAACTAATAGATTCTTAATGGTTGTAGGATATTGATGAGGTAAAAATACAAATATTTAGACAATTGGTCTACTTTGTATAAATAAACTAGAAAAAATTTGAGCATAATGTATATATACACTGTAATAATTGATTTGTAAATAATAAAACTTAGATTGTGATAGTGTAATGGAGCTTATAGAATTATTTTGGACATTGATACACATTATAATTACAACAAAGGTATAAATTTTCTTTCTTGGAATAGGGTCATTAATAAAGCAAGCAAATGTAAGAAGCCTAATTTACAAAATCAAGTATAAGACAATCTCACATAATGGCTTTTCTTCCATAATATCTTTGTTGTTGTTTATTGAAGAGACCTTAAGTGCTTTTGAATTATATTTTTTTATTTTATTATGACTAGCAATAATATATTATGTATTTTGATGATTAAAACATCTACCTAATTTAGAGCATGCAAAAAAAAAACTCAAGCAATAAGATGAAATGGATACAAAAATGAGAATTTTTTTGAAAAAAAAGTGCAGAGAAAAGATGGACTCCTTGAGCAAGACTTCCATGACCACTAATCAATTCTACTTAAAGGACTAAAAAACTCCACTGATTTTAACAATCTTCTTATCTTTGTTGGTTTGTTTCACATTCTAATACCTCTTCAATTTATATTATTTTTTGAAATGGATTCCATATGACTAGATCATTAGGTCTTAGCTATGTATACAATTGATGTATAGCAACGTAGTTAATAATACAAATAAACCATATTTCATGGATAAACAAGTCAAAAACTTATGAAAAGCTTTAGAAAACGTTAAATTAATGTGATTAGTTGAAACTTGGAGATTTCAAGGATAAAAAAGCTTTGATTCCTGTGAGATTAATCTACAACAATACGATGGTGATTTCAATTTTGGTCACCATAAAAACCAAAATTAAAATCACAATAGAATGAAGATCCAAAATCGAAGTCCTTAGCATTACTTAGAAGCTCATAGAAGCTTACAAATGATATATGATCATAGTGAATATTTTCTATCATTGTTAGAAGTGTATTGTAGAACAAGTTTTTTTGATACTTCTATTGTGAAAAGAACATATTTTTAAAGTGTAGGAAAATATAAATGGAATTTAAATTTTTTTGAGAAGTTTGAAAAACTTCTTTATAAAAATAAAACACAATTAGGCATCTCAAAATATGATTTATATAATAGTTGTGTGTATATAATGCAAGGAATTTGAAAAATATGGAATCAAACATAGAAATGAAGAAACATGGAAATTAAGGAATACAAGGAAGTATGGATAAACAAAAAAAATGGATGAATGTGTCAAAAATCATAATATTCAATGGCATGAATTTTTACCAAAGAACATAAAATATGTGATAAATAAGAATTATATTTCTAATTATAATTAATAAATATAAATGATTCTATTATTATGCATATATTTTTTATTTATTTATTTACCTTTTTTTGGTTAAAATTTCTTTAGAAGTGGTTAGTTTTTAACTTAAAAACCTATAAATTAAAATTTTACAAATTTTTTGTAGCCAATTACATAGTTTTTTACTAATATATATATATATATATATATATATATATATATAGTGTAAAATTATTAGTTATTATTTCATATAACTTTCACACTAATGCTTGATTTTTTTAGACCAATTTAACATGTTTTAAATATTTTATAGTCTAATTATTTTTATTAAATAATATTTCAATGATACATTAATTAGTTTATAATTTTTTAGGATTATTGTATATTTTTTATCCATTAAATTGATATAAAATTATTTTGATATTTCTTACATAATAAACATCATCTAATTTTTTAATTAAAAAAAACACATATATGCAAGTTCAAAATAATAATAAAGAAAAACCATGATTTTTTTTTAAAAAAAAATTATACTTAAAATAATTTCATTATAAAAACATCCCCTCTTTATCTTCTTGTCTATGATTTATGATTTATCTTCTTCTTTCTTAAACAAAAAGATGTTTACTCCTACATAAGACATTTTCACACCACATGAAAAAAAGAAGAAGAAAAAAGAACAAAGTAAAAAGCTCTTTGTTCCAAGATAGTTTCATTTTACAAAGTGAAAGTCTAAAGCAAATTTGCAATGATTTAGTATTGATTCAATAAAACCGAACAACAACCAATGAACATCAAAAATCTTTATAAGTGACCATTTCTTCAAGTTGATATATAATAAGAAAAAGGAAAGAAAAAATAAAAAATAAAAGGGAAGAAGAAGAAGGAGGAGAGAAAAATAATATTAAACATCTTAATCGATTTTGTACTGCAAAATGGGAATCCCAACCACTACACCTCATAGACTTGCTTTAACAAGTTAAAAGCAATGCAAAGCAAAGATCCTCCATCCATGGTAATAGGGAGCGAGAGCGGACACGGGGTCTCGTCCTCCGCCGCGACGCAAGGCCGTGAGAACTGGAGCACCTCCAGAGGCCTCCAGTTGGCAGCCTCCCCGCAATTTGGCAGCAAAGGATACGCCGAGGGCCCGCCTATCTGGCGCCTTCCCACTGGTCCAAACGGGCAGGGGCCCTCGGTCGCCGTAGGCTCCCTGTTCTTGCCGCTTAGCAATCAAAGCTCCAGTGGGGCTCTCATGTGGCAGAGGGAGAGAGCTATGGCTTATGCTCAAACTCAACTCCAAGCTTCTCTGCCTGCTTGCTGCTGCTGCTCACATTGTTCCCTCTACTTGTCTTGCTGCACCTTCCTCTCTCTCTCTCTCTCTCTCTCATTCTTTGCTCTTACGTTGCGTTTCTATAAAGGTGCTTGAGCTCGTCTCCACCTCTCCCTTTTAAAAGATCTTTTCCTTCGTTATTTATTGCGCTCATTTGGACTCAGTTTCGTTGGGACTCAGTAGCGATCGGAGGTTGTGGTTTTATTCAAAAACTCGTTGCGTCCGGGCACCGTTCAATGCGCCGTATGCACCTGGCTGAGATCCCGCGAGTGTTTTCTTAGTTGCGGGGCGAGGCTGTAGTTCGGAGCGGGAATGGGAAGGATTTTGGCTGTTGGCTGAGACTGTGGTGCGACTTTCCCGGTATTGAAGTGTGGATTGCGTGGATTGCAGTTGACGAAGAGATGGTAGGGGATTCCTCGGAGCGGTGTCGTGTTGCGGCAACCGGATGTCTTCCTGCTGGAAGTTCGTAGATACTGTTATTGCTTCACTGACAGGATTCTTTTGATTTTGTGAAGGTCCGCTCGTGGCGAACTCGAGGTTATCCTGTAGAGTAGGATTGAGTTGCTCTGGTTTTGACTGAGTTCTTGCTCATGAGAGTTCATTTCAGAACTTTCAGTAGATAAGTTCCTTGGATTGCGCTCCGTGTGTTTTGATTTTTTGTGCTGTTTCGCTTTGGAAGAGCACTTTGGCGATTTGTATGCCTGTATGTATTTTCATATTCTAGGAGATTAATGCCAGGTAAAGATCCAAGCATTGGACGCATTCATTATGAAGTATGAAGGCTGCCTTTCAATGTGACGTATTATTTGTTTGATTGTTTGTCTGATTGTTTGAACTTTTTGTTTACAAGTTAATTTTCACCGCTCATCCTCATTTTACGATTGTTATTTGTGAGGTGCAGTCTCGCTGGTTATCCAGTGGTTTTAATTTCGAAACTTGTGATCGTGCCTCCTTTTTTTCTTTTTTCGTTTTTTGTTTTTGTTTTTTGTGTTTCGCTTACCTGTCGGCCTGAATCGGATAGAAGCATCAATCGGAATTTTCGGGAAAAATGGGTGTGTATGTGTGTGGACTTTGTACTTGCGCACGTTGCTTTCTTCTATTTAAGTAAAGAGAATATGGCTCTGGTATGACATGAAGTGTAGCTCTTTTTATCTACAGTTCTGCAACACATTCCAGCGTGTTAACAACCTGCTCTCTGTGCACCAGTCGCTGTTAACTCAATGTATCTTTTCTGCCATTAATTAATTAATTAATTAATTTTTCGCTTGTCCTTGAAACAGATAAACTTGCAGATGGTTGAAAATAGAAGTGTGAAGGTCTTTCGCTGTTTGTCTCGTTTAAATACTGAACGAAGTTGCCGGCACTTGCTTTAACTGGTCTCACAATTGATATTAATCGTAATGCAGAATTAGGCTGATTCTCTGTAGCTGCAGAAAATGCTGTGTTTCGTTCTAGCTGTAAACTTGATTCATACAATACTGAGAATATTCCTGAAGTGTCTTTCTCGTTCTACCAAATTTAAAACCAGTTAGCATTATGTGGTTCCTCGGCTTCCGGATGATCATTGTACTTCTATTTTTGATATGTTGTTAGCAGTACCCAATGATGTTAGTATATTATGCGGAATATGGATCCCTGGGATTCTCGTATCTAAGTCCTGGTTGAGCTGGTTCGTCTTGGATGCTGGCGTCATTTTGATATAATGATCTTCCTGTCTTTTATGATCAAATTTTTTTCTTGTTATTCCAGGAATGTGGATTTGTAACAGAATGTGGATTGAGTCAAAATATGTCGATGTTCGTAGGATATCTGGTTGGTCGTGACGTAGTTAAGAGTCTTTAGTAGTGGTCAGATTTGATGTTTTTGTTCTTTGTTTTTTGTTTTGTTTTGTTTTGTTTTTTAATTTTATTCCCGAAGATTTATTTCTGTGGTCCAATTCCTTGTTCTACGATCCCTATCAAAATTTAGGTATTCATTATTGCTCCGCACTGTACTCACCTTAATTTAGTTCTAATCGTGTACCTTCCATTGCATGATAGCTGAAATTTGGTCAATTTTAAGGTAGCGATTGCTATTAAGTTAGCAGTTGATAAGAATTTAGTATTGTCGAGAATTGCTCCGCATTGCTTGACCGATTTTAATTTTAAAATCTTGTTTACTTTATTACCCTTCGGTTGCAGGTATTTTTTTGATGCTGTTAGGCGATTGTGAACATCGAGAAGACTTTATTTTTTTTGGGCTGGCAAGGCGTTCCCTCCTCCTCTCTTCGGCTACTCAAAGCCAGCTTGTTGTGCTAGCACGGAATTGCTTGTGACGATGCCCGGAGAACATGGGTCAGGAGGAGTCAGCTCCTATGTTCCTCCAGGGACATCATCTACTGAATCAAAATCATGGCCCAACAGCCCTCAGATTCCTCTTCAGACTACATTTCCGACTGAAGTACCATCAGGAGTTTTGCCGACTCTAGCCTCTAAGGCTGGGTCGGGCGATAGTCATGAGAACCCAGGGATCATGTCGGCACGTCTGTCCGAAGATGGCGACGGAAGTGCACTTTCCACCCGTAGTTCACAGGACATTGCAATTGAAAAGACATGGCCTGTTGGAGCTCCATATGGGAACGGAGTTACAAAACCCGTCGCTTCTAGGTTTGCTGTTTTCACTCTTATGACATATTCATGGAGTTGGTGAAATGGTGACGGAGTTACTATCTTCGATTAAAGATCTTTTTTTTGTCTAACGTGTTTGGTGTATAGCGTTCATCACGTTCTTTGATTCTGCTTCAAGTGCGGAGCGCAGAGCTAAGTATTGTTTATGATTTCATTCATTTCATTTATTCAGTTTTATTTACAAAGCAGATCTTGTAATGTGTTTTTTCAGGTCCAAAGATGATCTTTCCAAGGCTTTTACTCACGACTTGGGATTCAGAGGTGATGGTGAGAAAGGCGATTTAGTGGCTAAGGGAAAACTACCTCTTGGTCCCAAGTTGCAGGACCTGGCGAAGGTTACTGCAACTCACAGTGATTCCCATTTACCGGTTGCAATAGGTGGTGTCCAGCAACACCGGGAACCGCAACCTTTTGCATTGCATAGTCCCCTCTTTGATGCGCAGGTTCTTTCCTTTTAAATTTCTGCCTCGAGGAACTGAAAATTAGTTTCCTACAATCTGATCACCTATTTTCTTTGCAAAAATTGTGCTAATTGATTTCAGGCCTCTTTTGTTCTGCGACTGATGAGATTATGTTCTGGCTCCTTATTATTCTGTTTAACTTACTTATTTATTCATTCTTAACATGGTTTGTTTTAGTCTCAACTGCATTAAATACATTTTTGGATTATACAGCCAGGAATTGAACAAAAGCCACTAACTGAGGAAGCGCGGCATCTACACGCTACCCAATCGCTTCCTGTTTGGATGCCTTCTACTGTGGCTAGTACAGATGCACCTGAAAAGATATTAGAAGAGATTGCAGATGTTAAAACGCCTCCTTTAACGCCACAAGTAACTGAGGAGAGTAACCACAGCAGTCTTAGTGGAACTCCAGTGAAAGGTAACTATTAGTTGTTTTTATTATTAACTGTGCAGGACTTGGACCTACTTATTTCCCGTTAGGATTTATTAAGATTTCTTGTGTCTAGTACTTAAAATCTTTGAAGCCTTTTTCGTTTCATGTGGAATTAGACTTTCGGTGAATTAGCGCTTTAGTTCTGTGTACTTTCCAATTATTGTTCATATGACTGTGTGGTTTGTTTTCCAGTTTTTATATGCCTGCAGTTTCAATTATTCTATCAAGTATGAACTAAATGTCAAAAACGAAATACTCAACTCTCGGTACAGCACACATTATATTCACTGCTATTTTACAACACGCAGTAACTTGTTGGTATCAGAAGTGTTCTTAAGTTATGCATTTCGGTGTTCAGATCAAATGGCTAGAGCAACATCAATGCCGGTTGCTGACTATAAAATGCCAGATCAACTGCTTCAAGGTCATTTAGCGCATTCCAGCACACTGAAGAGAAGAATAAAGAAGAACCTTGATAACGCGAATGTTCGAGTTGCAGAAGCCAAGTTGTCAGATCGGAAAAAGGTGTGTCTGAATTAAGTTTAAATTTGCATTCTTGTCAGAGAAAGAGTTTTCAAAGCTTTCTATTGATACAGTTTGTTTTGTATATACTGTGAATTTTACGGAGGTTTTCGTATGTCATTCAACTGATAATCGTTTTTTATTCCATTACTTCAGAAAAGGCTCATGAGACAATTCGTTAGTATCCAAACGGATGGAGGCGTGGAGTTTGATCTTGGTCGAAGTAGTGGACTGGCCAGGGATCTCTTTGGAGAACATGTCATGGACGAAGAGAAATTCGATCACAAAATTCCTGCAGCTGACCAAATTGAGGAGGGAGACGAAGAGAATGACCAAAATCCAATTCCTCCACTTAAAATAGTCATGCTCATCGTTGGTACTCGTGGTGATGTTCAGCCGTTCATTGCTATCGGCAAAAAGTTACAGGTTTTATAAATTGGTCGTTTTCTGGATTTTATTTGTTCATAGGTTAGCTATTCCTATTTCAATGTTCTTATGCAGTTTTTGTTTTAGTTGAGGCTATTAACATGCAATAAAGTAGGTTGTTACTTGCAGCACTACAATGGAAATATCATGAGTAGTTGTTGTGGGACAACACAAGTGAACCTGATTATGTTTTTGCAGGAGTATGGTCACCAAGTACGATTGGCAACTCATGCCAACTTCCGGGACTTTGTGAAGAAAGAGGGATTGGAATTTTATCCACTAGGAGGAGACCCAAAGGTTCTTGCTGAATGTAGGTTTTTGAGTTACCTTTTTTCATATATGAGAAATAATTAGAGTTTGGCTTGAAATTTGTTAAAAATTTGTAGTTGAATTCCTGTCATTTGTTGCAACTTATTCATGGGGTGGTTTCATCTTGATGTACAGAAGTCTTAGTGGTCTTGAATGCATTTGCAGTACTTCAGCTTTTCCTCTTTGAAACCTTCACCGTAGTTCTAAATATTTTTCTCAATTGCCTACTTTTAGTATGAGGCTACAGCAGCCTTGATACTTGTCCTGTTCAGTTCATGCATCTCTGCTGTGTCTACAACACTCTAAAGTAGTAAGCTTAGATGTAGTATTTAAGAATAGTGATTTTGTTGTTTTCCATGTTATGAATATCTTTATCGAGAATATATTATTTCCGAACGCTATTGAATCATGTGGTGGTGTTGACAGACATGGTGAAAAATAAAGGCTTCTTGCCCTCTGGACCTTCTGAAATTTCAGTGCAGCGGAAACAAATCAAATCTATTGTGTACTCCCTATTGGATGCTTGCATTAAACCGGATAAGGATACTGGAGTCCATTTTCGTCCTCATGCTATTATTGCCAACCCTCCTGCATATGGTACTCCTACTTTTGAGTGACCAGCTTTAATCTCCGCATATATTGTATTTGACGATGCTAGTTTTACAGTGAACAATGGCAGCTCGAACAATTGCTCAAGCAGACGGACTACTTAGTGCCCGGTCATTAAAGCTCTTTCAATGTTTTATTGAGCAGCTTGTGTAAATGAGGTTATATGTTACATTGTAGCAACAATTTTCACGAGCAAAGTGGAATATGCAGGACATGTCCATGTTGCAGAATATCTCAAAGTCCCACTGCACATATTCTTCACAATGCCATGGACGTAAGTTGCAATTCCTCTGCTCAATACTGAAGGCTTTTGTTATTCTACTTTTGACAATTAGATCCTGAACTTGAACATGCTTGTTTCTGAATAAGGATGTTTTTTTGAATTGTTCTATTTACCCAGGGCAACCAGTGCATTTCCACATCCTCTGTCTCGAGTGAAACAATCGGCTGGAAACCGAGTAAGTTACATGTCCTGGTTTTGTTAAATGGTTTTATGTCATTGATTTAATTTTGTGTATGTCTGCATTTGCCTTGCATGCTTTCATTTTAGTGTTCCTGTCTTGATTGATTTTTTTTCTTAAGTTTTGGGAAGAAATGCTGAAATTGTGATATGTGTTGATTGTGTTGCTTTTTAGTTGTCCTACCAAGTGGTGGACTCGTTGATTTGGTTGGGCATCCGAGGAATTATCAACAGTTTCCGTAAGAAGCATTTGAAGCTACGACCCATTACGTATCTGAGTGGTTCGCAAGGTTCTATCTCCGACTTGCCTACAGGTTATATATGGAGTCCTCATCTTGTTCCTAAACCGTCAGGTACGAACTATTGACCTCTTTTTGATTTGTTCCTAATTTTTTTGATCACCGGTTATTTTTATTTGTCGATTGCAGAGTTTTTACTTGTTAAAATGTAGCTGCAACTAGGTGTCAGGCTTTGTTGATTTTGCTGCCAATTCCGTATTGAAATTATGAAGATACTTACAAGGATATGCCACTTTTCCAGATTGGGGACCTCTTGTCGATGTAGTAGGATTCTGTTTTTTGAATCTAGCTCAAAACTACAAGCCTCCTGATGACTTGGTGAAGTGGTTGAATGCTGGGTCAGCTCCTATTTATATTGGATTCGGAAGTCTTGTAAGTATATCGCAATATATAGTACCACCTGTTTCACAAATTCTCATGAAAATTTGGATGAGTTTGTCCCCCCACTACATGGGAAATGTTGGCTGTCAGTGGTGAAGTTTGTGACTGTCTCACTTTCCTCCCTCTACTTGATTTCGTATTGGTCTGTACTTTCTCTCATATTGTTCTCAATACTGTTTTTTAGTAGCGGTGTTTCAATTGCACGTAGAATCAAATTCTGGATAACTGCACGGTAGTCTTATCATAGTGGATGCTTCTCTGCCGTCGTTCTTTAGCCTGTGGAAGATCCTGAAGGTATGACGAAGATTATTGTAGAGGCGTTGAACAAGACCGGACAACGAGGTATAATTGGCAGAGGCTGGGGCGGAATCGGAAAATGTGAGCACCATCAATTTTCTGCATGTGGCATAGTTGTACTTTATACGTACTGAATTCACTTTAGTGTTGTGTCTTCAACGATATTACATTTCATGAAATTTATTTTCGTTTCTGTTGCTTTCACACTGATGCATGTATAATGCCACTCCTGCAGTGGACAAAACACCAGACAATGTCTACCTTCTGTCAGACTGCCCCCATGACTGGTTGTTCCCTCGATGTGCTGCAGTTGTACGTATCTCAACTACTTTTCATAAGTTTTATTCCTAGGACTTCTGTGAATATGTTTGCTCGTAATCACAATGTTATATATATATATATATATATATATATATATATATATGTGTGTGTGTGTGTGTGTGTGTGTGTGTGTGTATTTCAAAGAAAATTTTCAAATATTGAGACAATAATTTTGGATTATGTACAGGTTCATCATGGAGGTGCAGGAACCACTGCTGCGGGTCTGAAGGCTGCGGTAATGCATTTTGCTCATCTAATTTTGAATTAGTAGTGACTTGCATTTATTAAGAACCTACTTCCCAGCTGTGATTTGGAGCGAAGATAATAATGAAATTGATCACCTTTAGGAAGGTATTCATTGTGGCGTGATGTACTATAAGATAACTCCCTTGTGTACTTTTTACTAAAATGTAAAGTTTTCTTGTGAATGTCAGTGTCCCACAACAATTGTTCCATTTTTTGGAGATCAACCATTTTGGGGTGAGCGCGTTCATGAAAAGGGCGTAGGACCTGCTCCAATTCCGGTCAAGCATTTTGACTTGGAAAAGCTTGTCAGTGCCATCGAGTTCATGCTTGATCGTTCAGTAAGTTTTTGTTATCATACCTGAAATGATTTGATGCTTCACGTAGTCTATTACATGTTTTCTGTGAATTCTGCCTGCTTTTAAGATCATTCAAAGAATCATGAACAGATACTGCATGAGATAAAAATGCCTCTACTTACTGTTTGATTTTACTTTCCTTAAATATCTAATCTGATATCTGGATACATTTCGTATCTTTAGGTTAAAAAAGCAGCCTTGGATTTGGCTAAAGGCATGGAAGGTGAGGATGGAATTCAGGGGGCGGTAAATGCATTTCATAAGCACATTCACAAGGGGTTGCCTGACATTTTGAAAGAGCCACCGTTGGAAGAGCTTCATCACCAGAGACACCATGGGATCTTGTTTAGGATAAAGAGGAAGTGCAAATCTATGATACACCATTCTTCAAGTGACCCAGCTTAGCGCCTTCGCAGTTTATAGTTCCCACTCGGACATGCTTCTGCTGTCTTTGTCTTTTTTGTTTAATCATAGAAAATGCTCTTCTACTTTCGAGGTGTGTAGAATGAGCCATTGTCAGATTCATCTTAATTTCTCTTGTACAGTATAATAATCTTTCGAATTTATTCTCACGACTGATAGGCAACCACAACTTCTGTGTACCACATGTACATTAGAGGATTTACTTTTAGGATTAGCTTAGATAATTCTCAATTTTACCAACAATAGTGATTATTAGAAGAAGCGATTCTGAGGTTTTTTTTCAAGGTGTAGTATGTAATCAGGTATGCGAGATGATAAGGTTTTGTATGAGGCGTATCTTCACAGCAAAGAAGAATGATTTTGTGCTACACGTGTGTGCGTCCGCGATGTGAACTGAATATTGATTTGTTATACGAGTGTTTCTTTTCTGTTCTGTGTGTTTAATATATGGGATTCCATTAGTCTTATTGTGGCCTGAATGTGGTTAGTAGCATGAATTTGTTACAACACAAGGAGGTTGCATTGCATTATAATATACATGTGTTGAAAATTTGAAGTAGTTTACTCCCACCAACTTCATCCTTATAAAGTTTGCCAATCATTGGTGGGCTTGGAATGGACTTAGAATCTTTCTACAAGAAGAATGGGCTGTTTTGGGTTTGTGCAAGGGCAGCTTTTGTCAAGGTCTACTGGTTGGTTTAGGGGCATGACATAGTTTAAGGTATTCCAATGTTATTATAAAACACTTAATCTTAGAACGCCACTAACTGAAGAGTCAGATTTTCCCATGGTGTCAACTTCAATCTTATCTCGCAGTGTGAACAGGGAAGTTTTACGAACCGGATATTTTATGCCCTTCCACGTGGGAATCAGATATTTGTTGAGACCTCTTGCCAATTTCCACTATCCACTAACGGGATTTCACCACGTGTCAACCCGCGACAGGTCGAGCAGAAGCCTCTACCCCTGGAACCCAGCAGCCCTGAAAGGAAAGGAAGGTCTTCGTGCAAAATCTGCGCTCGTTTCCTGCGATCAAATTAGCCGACTCAATTCCTGCGATCTCGATGTGATTCGTGCGACCCAATTCTGCGATCAATCGCACACCCAACCAATTCCTTCGCCTAGGCTCGCCCTTTCGGAGTCGCGCTGATTTCGCCTCTCAACCATGAGAATCGAGTCAGCAGCGCATTCTCGCGAATTCACGCTCATGAAAAAGGCAAACCGATCGATTCTGGGTCACGTCGCAGCGATCGCTTGCGGAATTTCAGGCGCATCATCAGGTGTGGGCAAATTTGGGTTCGGGGTTTTGGCGTGGAGGAGTTTGTGTCGCGCTAGTCGAGCAGGGAGGGTTGTTAGTGTGAGGGTTTGAATGATCCCTGTTTCGTTGAATTGTGTTGAACTAGGGGTGTTGTAGAATTCGGGTTAGTGGGTTTTGGTAATATTGTTGGTTTCGTGGGGTTGGTGGTTCGAGGAGGTGGTGCGGGGGTTGGGGTGAATTAAGGTTACGTGGGCGTTGGTTGTTTTGGCTTGGGTTTGAGTTTTTGGTCACAGTTGTGTCAGCGGGGATTTTATGTGGAGATTTTACGTTGAGGATTGACAGGGTTTGAAGATGATTTTTTGTTGTTGAAGAGTGAGCGGGAAATGAGAGGCTCGTGAGAATTGAATTTGATTATATGAGGCACTGCTCTGATGGATTTGCCGATGGTTTTGTGAGTTATTTAGGTCGTTCGTCGTTGTGTCTCTCTCGTTTGAATTCTAATCAGCATTGTCATTACTTTCTGCAATTGTTTATAGGGTTGGTGGAATTCGTAATGCTCTGCTTAAGAATTTTCTCCTGTTGCATGGAATTGCTGTACTACGTTCTAGCTACACATTTAATATACAAAATTTAAGAAGTATCCATAAAGTGCCTTCTACGCTCTTAGCTACAGTCCTTGAATCTCCTCTTTATTCTGCGAGCACACGGGTTGTGGATGATCGTAGCACTGCCGGTTTTGGCATGTTGTGAGAAACACTCAATGATGTCAACATATCCCGTGGAACATCAAACTACAGAATTTATGTTAAGATAGGTTCGGGATTTGCAAGTCTGCACCAATTTAATTAAACCTACGAATTATCTCGAGTTTATTGTGTTTTGTGTGTTTCAAGATTTGTTCTTTCATGACCCGGTGCAAAATTTTAGGACCGCAGCTGGATCTGGGATTTGGGTACCCCTTTACGTTAGGTTGCGGTTTGAATAGTCAATCAGTCTGTGTTGTCATTGTAGCATCTGTTCCAGAAGTGATTGTGTTTGAGTTTCCATGTCTTGTATGTTGTTGTTCCGCATGGTTCTTACAGTTGAAGCATTATGTCTTGGGGCTTTGCAGGGTTTACTTTGAGAATATTAAGGCTGCTAAGGTAACAATGATTGGCGGTCATTGATTTGAATAACACTTCTGAGAAAAAAAACGAGTTGAAGATTTTTCTCTGCAAAAGTTCTTTGTAGTACTTGATAAAACATCAAACGAAGGTGGTGATAGTTTAATTATCAATAATCTGGAAACGACATGCGAGGGGCGTCCATATTTCGCCAGTTGGCTGTTAAGGCCTACAAAGGGAGTTCTCTACCATTACCCGAGACGACCTCACCAATATGCTTCGAAGGCAGCGACTGTAAGGTTAGGAATGAACTACAGTCACTGTATGTCAGTGCTGAACAAATGGAGTCACCACCGACGATGGATATGAAGAAAGGGGTGAGAATTAGGTTGAGTTTTGACGATCCAGATATACTTACTCCACAGCAAGTTGATCAAGGATTGTCCAAATGCTGGATCCTTTTGCACAATTACATACTTACGATAGGTCAACTTGCTGCTCATGTAGTTGCGAAATTCGATCTCCAGCATTCTTGTCGTGAAGGTCTTTCCTTTCAGGTATTAGCCTTGATGCATGTATTCTCCAACAATATTGTAGGTTCAAGTCATATTATCATACAACTCTTTCTGTCCTAATATAGCTGGTATTCTTATTGAAATGATGACAGACTGCCAGGAGGGTGGGTGTTTGTGTTCAAATTTTAATTCCATTTGGGAAACACGTATAAGTTTAATGGCAGGGGTGTGTGTAGTATCTTGGCTTACTTCACGTTGCTAGTCTATGGTGCACTCGAATGATAACCTAACGGAATTTATTGAGGATTGAATCTCCAGCCTTTAGTGGGTGTGACGACTCTTCATATGCTCTTGAACAGCTCTCTGCAAAACTGTTATTTTAAAAAATTCTTCTATTCAGCCGCGATTGTTTTTATCATTTGAAAAACCAGATGGATGGTTTTGCTTTACCCCCAACTGAGTTAGCAAGTCTTCTTCGAAATTCTGATATTGTCAGGTATGTTCGAATTTTTTTATTTTTGTTTTTGTTCTTAAATTTCATATCGTGCTCTGTATTATTTGTTTACTTATGCGCAGACGTTCCCTTTACGTGCTGTGGTGTACTCAAGATTATTGAGTTTCTAGTTTACTTGGAGAATGGCCATTTATTCAGGTCACCATGTGATCAACCCCCTCATGATTTTGGTGCTACCGCTAGTGTAGTTAGTCCGCCATTGGAATCTATAGACTGGACTAATCTACAGATGGGTATAGTTTTTCATGGTATACTTAGAGAGTCTTGGTTGTCTGTCAACAGAGGCAGAGAATTTCTTAGAGTTCCTGGATGTCATTTGCATTCATTTCCCTCATTTAAAATTGGTTTCTAAAGGTCGTTCTGTTGAATCTCTGTGGCAGTGTAAAGAAACAGTAGAGAGGTGATTCTCTTCTAACAGCTCCATCAACAATACTGAAGTCAAGAGAAATCTTTCCCGAGAGGCTGAAAGCAAGCAACACGAAAAATAGTGGCAGCAGCTTGCGGACTTATGCGCAAGGAGTCCTTGACCCTCGTTTTGCATCTGATTTCACTCACGTTCCAAGCAAAGGTACTTCTTTCTATTCTTTTTCTCGATGTTGAAAGTGTTACTTTACATTTCGACGTTGATGTTATTACAGACGGGCGCATGTGTTATCATGGCACCATAATCTTTTCTTTTATTTCTACAAATTATTTAATATATTTCCCGTCTGTAATTTTTGTGACATGTTTCAATATTTGGTGAATTGTCGTTCACAAAGATGTATGCTTAAAACTTTTGTAGATTTGTTTTAGTGTCTAGCATACTGATCAAGCTGTGGATCTATTTATAGGACCTCTTGCTCCCGTCCAACAACCTTCGCCTTCAACTTCTCAAATGTTGCAGTGTGCGCAGCCCCTTTCAGCGCCGCAGCTCCCACTAGCACCGTGCCCTCCAACTCCTACTCAATCTGATGGTTTGGAGGTGCAAGGTCCTGAAAATGAGATGCAAGCACTACAAAGTGAAGAAGACAAGGAGGATGGAACCGAGTCATCCATACTGACAGTTCCAGCAGCGGACGTTCATGCAAGAGATCACAAAATCCTTGAAGTGGATGATGTTATTGAGAAGAACATAGTTACTGAAAAGGACGACACTGAGGAGAAGAATGCTAAAGATACTGATGAGCCTTCTGCCGAAAAATTGCGAAGTATCGTGATCACCGGTTCATTGCCAGACAAAAGAAGGCTTACAACTGTTTTTGAGCCCAGTGTACAGCAATACAAGCGCACAAGAATAATTTGTCCTCACGATATGAAAAGTGTTGCGGCTTCAAGAGCTGCGTTGATTGGAGCAGCTTGGCCCAAGTCGCCTTCGAAATACAGTTTACAGTCTGAAACAAAAGAAGGATGTGAAAAAAACTATCCTGAAATGTGGGCAAGGAAGGCTTTTGATGCATGGAGGACTGCAAATGGTCACCCAACAGATCTTTCAATTGAGGATTTGTCAGAACAACGCGATGTAAGGACGCTTGTTGATATGTTGTGTGAGTTCATATCACAACTCACAAAACAGAATGGGCAGTCGTATCCACCAGCCAGGTTATAAATCAACCTTGTCTTGCTAACATCTTACTTCGTAAAGGTTGCTGTACAGCATTCAGAGGATTTGTTGGTTTTTGTTTTAAACTAACATTTACGTGCCAAAATTTACTCTTCCTCGTGCTGTTTAAATTCTGTACTGAGTCCTTGGGTCATTTATTCTGCTAGCTCTAAAGCATAATGAACTATTTTTGCATTGCATACTTTCTACATCATGTACTCATGCTTTTGAATGGCTTTTTTTTTTGTAGTATCCAAGCAATGCTGCGAGCCATAGGTCGCATCATTAGAGCCCGCGAAGAGCAAAGAACAGTTGAGACTGGAATTGCCAAAGTTCCGTTCAGCATTTATCGTGATCCGCGGTTTCTTAAAGTTAAATGGGCGGTTGAGGATGCCGTAGCCAAGTCAGCAGCAATTGAATCAGCAAAAGAAGTCATAGCTCTGGAGGTTCACCCACCTATGAACGAAGGCGAGATGTTGAATCAATGCAAGTTCTCCAATACTCATCCAGAAGGATGTAGCAGGCGGTTTGCCTACTTTTGTTTACGAGACTTTTATGTTAAAGGGCGAAGTGAACTTCGAGAACTATCTGACGTTGATTTTGAACTCTTCACGGACGAACATGGCGAGTGCCTAAGGTCAGTAATACATTCATGCTCATTGAATTAGTACATAGATGCTTGAGTGAGCTTTTGAAGTATCACTTAAGAGTGCAGTAAGTGAATTTTTGTGTATTAAATTCGTTGTTTGCTTCTTGTTTTTTCACTTTCTGTAGGTTTCACTTATAAGGTGACACAATGGGTTCTTCACTCCTGGAGATGAGTTTATGAATTTGACTAGTTCAGTGGTAATTTTCAATTGATGCTAACGTCTCACATGTGCAAATGTAATTTTGAATCGTGGCACATCTTCACTTTCAAGTAACATTAAATAGTTCAAAGACTCGATACAAAAATTATGAAGAGAGTTTTAGTCTGCTGTGTCCTAACCCGTGAACATGCAGGTACACGCGAGGGATGGGGGCGAACTGGAAGCACAATATCGATAATCAACCCCGTCACTCCATAAGATGCTACATCTCCGATGTCTTGGAGGCCTACCATACTCTTATGGCACATCGACCAGTTTGGTTGGACACTGAGCCGCCGCCTCACCCTATTTTTTTGAAGAGCCTGCCCAAGTGGAGCGATCAAGTTGTCTGGTACGCAAAAGCGCCTGTGGGTAAGAACAAGTTCAGCATGTGGAATCAAGATGTCATTGCTTCCTTAGGTGGGCTTCCGGACAGAGCTACTTCAAAGTTTGATTATGCAAAGTTCGATTACATGGTTGAAGCCACCAGGGTGGAGAATGCGTAAATAAGATCCTATGTACAATAGATCCTGCAACGATGAAGAGACACTCGGTTGCCTTTTCCTATCCCCCCCCTTTTTGTTCCCTTGTCAAAGTGCTATGCTTGGCATCCACTCTGATGCTAACTTGAGAGAACGTCGGTCTAAGCTTCCCCTGTACATTATGTTCCATTTTTAAGCTGGTGATGTCATGTACAGTCGCTGTAGTAACAATTCTGCTCATTTTGTATGATAGATTATGTCCATATTCTGGGGTTTCGTTGGAGCCGCCTGCATAATATGCCCTTGACACGGGCAAGGTGGTACATATTAGTGAAACTCGTTTTGTGCGCACACAAGATTTCCCACGCCTTTCTGCTTTTGAAAATTATCATGTATTTTGTTTTTGTTTTTGTTTTTTTCGGGTTTAATCATGTAATCCAGAACAGTTATGTGTTTCTTAGGCCTTTTTTTTTGGTTTAACAGCAAAAGACTATTGTGGTCTTTTTGTTGAGTATTAAACACTTGTGGAGATTCTATTGAAGACCACGGCCATGCGTACAAGTATTGATCATCGGCAATTTATTGATATAACCAACCTATTTCAAAACTGTTAGTATCTGTGCATTTCCTTCTGTTTTTAAAGTAAAATAATAAGATTAATCATGGGAATTGTAAATAGAACTTACAGCCGAAGGAAGACCTGATTGAAGTAATGAATATCGTTTTCACCATGCAAATGTCAATTAAAAACATGGTTATATCGTGTTGTCGATCATGAATGGGAAAATCTCGAATTTTGCTCAGTAAATGAAATCAAAACAAAATATTGTTGTAACTTCAAGATGACTGTAATAACCAATTTTTCTCATTCTAATTCCTAGATATAAAGACCCATGATACATTCAATGCTTTGTATTTAGTTTAAAGTTAGTATAGTTTTTTCTACAGTACAGAAGGAAATCCAATAAAAAAATAGTTTTTTAATATAATACTTTTTAAAAATAATTTAGTTCATATTCTGTAAGATACATGAATAACTAAACATTGGCTTGTAACAACTTATGAAAGATTTATAAGTACATTTCAGTATGATTTTGAAATTTGAAAATTTTCCAAGAAAACATTGCAAATGGTAGGTAGATGCCAAAGCACAATAATCTATATACAAGATTTAATGATTGTATTGTAAATTCAAAGCTATTTTAATCAGATCCACATTATAAAGATTAAAAAAATTACCAGCATGTTAAGATTCTAATAAAAAATAAAAAAGAAGTATCAAAAATGATTTTATTTTGAATGTAATACTTGCTCAAGGGTCTTACTAATCTTACTTGAATTTTTCAAGTTTTATAACATGTCTTTGAAAAGAATTTGCAGTCACTAAGACTAACATTTTATGTGAAATATTTTATATTATACCATCTCTTATGATCTTTATTATTTTTTGTGTCACTCTACTATTTTCCTTTATTTAAGAAGGTATTTATACAATGCATTGAAGTATCATCTATGTCCTAATTCATTGTCAAACTTAGATGATCCTTCAAGGTTTCTTCAAGAAGCATACATGCACTTGTAAATATATAACTTGAATTAAAAAAAACATTTAGAAGTAAGGTTTGAAATAGTTCTAAAGAAATAAGATTTTTTTTGTGATGAGTAGGATTTAGACTACTTCTTTGTGTAATTAACTTCAAATATCTTTTTAATAAAAATCATTAAATTAATAAAAAGAGTGTTTATTTAGAGGAGTACATTTAGTTTCATTGTTAGATTAATATAGAATTAAAAATATATATATATATATATATATATATATATTGAAAAGTCTATAAACTTAAATTTGACTCTTTTAAATGATTGGGATGATTTTATTTGGTAAGATGATAGATTATATAATTTGATTGTAGATAGTTATAAATATATTTTCGTAACAATCATTTTTTTTTTTTTTTTTTTTTTTTTTTTTTTTAAGAATTGTTTTAAGGTGTAGAATCCATATTAGCTATGAAATGGAATTAATAGCTGACACTTATAAAAACAAATTTAAAGCCAAAAATGATCCTTATTAATAATGAAACCCCAGAAAATATTCCCTTTAAAGGAAAAAAAAAAAAAAAAAAAAAAAAACTTATTCATTCCAGAAAATTAATATTAGCTTAAAGAGAAGCACCAATTTGTTAAAATTATATTATATTTAATCAATTTAATGTCACACTCTTAATTCTCATGCAATGAAGTAAAAATAAGACAAACGAAATTTGAAAATGTATAAATATCTATATTGTTTAATGCTTAAAGTGATAGTTGTGAATTTTATTATACAAGTATAATTTTTTTGGCAAACTGGTTCTAAAGATTAATTGAGAAAAGAATAATTTTATCAATGTGTAACATAAACATAAAAAATATTTTGGTTTAAAAACAAAATTTTATTTCCATGAGGAAAAGTCTTTTGCAAAAATTATGAGTAAATTTTTTATATTATAACTTTTATATATATATATATATATATATATATATATATATATATAGATAATTTTTTTTATTAGATTGGATCCTACCATTGAATAAAAAAAATGCATAATTGTTTCATTGAACGAAATTGACATAGACAACAGTAACATATAATTGCCATTAAAAGTTTTTGTAGCAATAAAAATTAATTTAGATATAGAGTTTACTTTTTTAACTGAAGAGAAATTTTTGATATATTTATAAAAAAAATCTTGTTAGGTATTTTATCACTTCAAATTTTACTTTACAATACAGAAAAGAGAGTTTAAAATTACATTGCTACTGATAAGTAAATAATATGTATATACGTAAATAGATTTTTTGATAAACTAATATAAATTGAAATATTATCTCGGATTCAAAGTTTATATTTTTATTTATGAATGCAATACAATGGAATCAAATGTAAGTAATAAAATAAATAGTACATAAAAATACATGATGCTATTTTTATTCTTGGAATGAGTCCTAGTTTAAAAATGTACCCAAAAAAATAAATTGAATTGAAATTCTTTACAACATATATTTATTATGTGAAATTAGATAGAAGAATCAAAGATATATGGATGAATATGGTTAAGCTTAAATCTTGTTCACAAGGACAACAAATCAAAATTTATAATTTTTTTTTGAAAAATATTAATATACGTTAATTTAGTTTAAGAAATTAATTAAGATCACCATACTATTTTAAATAATAGATAGAATTAATTGAAGTGTGGTATTTTATTTAGCCATCTAAACTTTTTTAAATACAAAAATTAGTTGTAAATTACGAAGATTACAAAGTAAAAGTATTAATAATGTCACTAATTAAAAATGTCATCTTAACAGTTACACAAACATAATATATATATATTTCTCTTTGATTTTAATTCATAATTAATAATTTGCAGAATTATAATTTCTAAAAACACTACTTATTTTAGTTTTAGAATTTTTTGATTAAATCTTCAATAACTTTTGGGTATCATGAAACAATGAATTTTGTACCTCTAGAGCTTTTTATCATTTACAACTATTTTTTATTTAATTCTTTTTGTTGCAATTTTTGTTGAACCTGAAAATTGATATTCATTTCATTTCATTTCATTTCATTTTTTCTTTTTCTTTTTTCTTTTTTATATCTGTCAAATTTTGAAATCTATAAGCATGTGCTTCTAGTATTAGCTGTCGTACCACAACCTCCAATTTTCATTACTTCAAGATAAAAATACAAAATGCAAAATACATAGAAAAGAAAAAAAAATCAACAATACAAGACTTCTTGGGCAAGGTGTATTTAGAACAAACTATATTCTTTATCTCAAAATATTCTTTATAATAGACCAAACTATATTCTTTATAATATTTAGAACAAACTATATTCTTTATCTCAAAAATAAATAACAATTTTTTTCTTAGGTATAAGGTGTTCCATTGTATGATGGTATTTAGCTTTAGTTTGATATACATCAGGTTAATACCATTTATGAGATTTATCACAACCAATTATTTTTATAAACAATAAATATAAATAAGAATACAAATGTAAATATATTCTATACATGACACTACAAAGTGACCTAATTTAAAAGGGTTTCAGAGGGTATTAAAAGGTTATTTTAACATTTTTCTTTCCCAACACAAATCTTTTTCCCTATTCTACCATTTTAATTTGTATGTCTCAAGAATAATTACAACCCTAATACACCATCTTATGTGATTTGTAAAATGAAAAAGAAAGGTGAAGAATGCCTCAAATTCCATTCTCTATCTTTCTCTCTATTCCTATAAATATATAATATATGTAAATAGAGTGTATTCTCCAAAAGATCCATCACGTGAGAGAACCCAACACATGAGCATATTCGCATGTCCTTCAAGCAATCCGACCGCTTACCAGAAACCTTACCAGAACTCTTACCAGGAGCGTGTTATCGTCTTGGCGATCTCATCAACACGAAAGTTTTCCCTGCAAACGGGGCACTCCTTCCTGGACAACGGGAAAAAAAGCATACGAGCACTTTAAAAGCCACGTCAAAAGTACTTTAACAGTATCATACGCCACTTTAAAGCAAATTTGGGCGAAAAGCACAAGAGGACTTTAAAAGCCACTTAAAAGTACTTTAAGGTATATTGTGTCACTTTAAAGTAAGGAACTCAAGGAAGGATCGAGGAGGGAGGAAGAGGGAGAGGGCGACGACGGCGGGCCTCGCAGTTTGAGCTCGGGCGTGGACTTTGCGGTGAATGGTTTCGAGGCGATGGCGCTCCTCTCTGGCTCTCCAGCTCTCCTTCCTGAACACCTTCGCGTCCTCCATCCAAACTTCCATCATGTGCTCTCTCTCTGCCCTTTGCTGCACACGGTGATACCCCTCGCTATTCATTTTAATATGCCCTTTCTTGGCTTGCATTGCGTTTTGTATTTTCTATAATTTTTGTTGGTTTTTGGTTTAAGGCTGTGGAGATTGTTCTTGCGGTATCTAATAGCTTGCGCGCTTAATTGGAGTTGAAATTACCTCGGCCTTGCGGTGTCTTACAGCTTGCATGGCTTTGGCTTGTGCTGCTCGCAGCGCTTCGCTCCGCTCTTCTTTCTCTTTTTGACACATCCTCTTTGATCTCTCCAGTTCCGCCTTCATGTTGGAAAACTTTTCCCTCGTACTGTTTTGTCGGCTCATGGAAATCACGGAGGATTGGAAGTAGGCGTGAGGTTTTGTGCGAGAACTCGTCTGTGGTAAGGATGCCTAGGTTGCAGTTTTGTGGAGACTCGCAGATTCTCGCTGTGCATTTATGTTGGTGCGAATTTTTTAAGTTGTGAATTAGATGCGTTGTCTTTCCTAGTGAAATTTGCAGAGTTTTGAAGGGAATGAGCGAATGGAAGGCGTGAGGATTCAATTACTCTTTCTGTTGCATGTTGTCAGCGAAGTCTTGGAATTGCTCCCTCACTTCCTCTATGTCTTGGAGTCTCATTAGGTGCTTTGTTCGGAAGCTATCTTCAATTCTAGACATATGTTCCTCAATTTTTTTCTCGCATGTAGGGGAGTATCTCTTGATAAGTCTTAGGTCCTCTCGAAAGACCTCATCGATCGCGATGAGCTGCATTTTGTTAATTCCACGAACAAAAGGCGACGTGTTATGGAGTGGTGATGCACCAAGATCGTTCCCACACACATGTGCTGTCTAGTTTCTCAAATTAGGAAGAAATAAACTGGATGGAATATAAAACTGCCGCAGCTTCTCAACTGAAGCACTATTGATGAACAGCAACGGTAGATTTAATTGTTTCTTTTTCGAGCAGGGGCTAATCCTCTTGAATCCTTTTAAGGGATAAGATCAAGTTCAGTTCTCGAAGCTCATAGATAAATTGCGGGGTATTTGTAAGTCAGAATTCCACAAGTTTGGGATGATCTTACCCGAGGGGAGTCTCGAAAGACCCGTTTCATTTTGAAGCGCTGCGTGCAGGATTTGAAGTTTTCAGCCCATCTGTTTACGACGCAGCTCGTGCGGCGAATCTGATCCAAATCAGTCAATCTCTCGCCAGGGGTATCGCCATGATCGTTCAACGTCAATTGAAATCCAAGTGCTTCCTTCAAGGACTCACACCTCGCAACATCACTTTCACAAACAGCATGCACAATCTTTGTTAAAAGGGATTCTAGGTAATTTGTGATTCACAAGAGGCAAGTTCACCAAAAGTCTTTATTCTGCTTTGTTTCAGGCAGGTTTATTCACATAAAAGTCGCAAAAGGGTGACGTTGATATTGAGGGGCTTACTCCTTCATGAGGCTGGACTTGGACTCTGTCGAAAGTCGATGCTCATCGTTATCCATTTCTGCAGGATTAGTCTCTTCAGATTTATGAAAGATTTTCTCGTTCTTAGGTGAACCACTTCGCCGACAGCTAATGATTTCTTTCTCTCTGACATAGCCTACCTGTTAGTGCAGACAACTGTATTCCTCATAATGTCTTCGAGAACGAAACAGACATTCTTAACGAACACAGTTTAGAACACCGATCAATATGTTAATGGCTCTATGTCTTATTGAGAAGCAGGGCTCTGTGAGATAGTCTACCTGAGCTGTGGAGATCGTGGCCCACCTTTGAAGCTGGAAACACGAAAACATGTCGTTCTGCATCGCCGTCACCATGCGTGTAAACTGCCAAAACCTCTTGCAATCGGGGTTTTTCTGCAGTTGTGGGGTGAGGGCTTTCCAGTTCCTGTTGCGTTAAAATGTGATTCATCTCACTGAATTCTTTGTTCTCAACCATCAAAATCTCAGATCTCCAGCACTCTGGGCTTTTGGGCCCCTCTTGTTTCATATGCTCCGCATCCATTTTGTGCGTGATGTCTGCATAGGACCTCCCACAAGGTGTCGGTAGATGACTCGTTTGATCCGATACAGCTTGCTCTTGAGCCTTCATCTTCTTGTCTAAGAGTGCTTCTTCAAGGGCACGGAAGTATCCACGGTGTTGCCTAGGCATCTGTTTGGTGTACTTTTGTGCATGGATAAGAAGTGCGTCCCACCCCTTGAACTTTCTTGGATTTCTGCAGACGGCGCAGGTTGTCTCATCTTCTGACTCGTCGGAGCTAGTATCAAGAAGTAGCCCTTGCCTTGGAGCCCTATTCTTGCAAAATGTCCACTTCTCCAGTTCCTGAAGCATGCAGTGCCATGCATCACGCAACGTCGACAGTTTATTTGTCGTTCCATTTTCATGCACCGACCATCAAATTGCAAACGGGCAAGTAGGCATGTGCGAATGAAACGAAACGGAAGGGATTCTGCTCTTGATCGATCCACACATTATCAATTCATGTAAGCTTACAATTCAGCTACTAACAAATCCAGCTTTTTGTCTTACGAGAAGTACATGCCTTTCTGACAGTGGGCAGCATGCTCTGGTATGCAGCTTCCTCCATGTTTTTCTCCAAGTTCTTGGCGTTAACTTCACCTGTGCTAACTGAACCAGGAGCATGTCTGGAGCTTGGGATTTCCACCTTGGCTGCTACGACTTTCGGGGTGTTCACTTTCTGGTTCTCTCGACCATGACAATCTTGTGGACACACAAGTTTGATCTGCGGCTTATGTTGGCTAAGATAGATCTGTGCATTACATCTCTCTCCCAATGGTGGAGCTCTGCCACTGTTTGGCCAAGTTTTTTGCGAATCCTGGGTTACCAACCCTCTATGGCATGGGTATTCGCGGTGGTGCGACCAGTTCTTTAGGCGCTTGGTGGGCGATGGTACGGTTTGATCTTCCAAGTACTCATACCCACGTTTGTGATCCATTCTATGGCCCAGAAACAAGATTTTCTGCACAAGATTTTCTGGAGAGTTATGAACACGAAATCGTCTACGAGTTCATACAAAAATCGAGGTCTGTAAAAAGTCTGGAAATTCCGGTTGACAGCAGCTAAGGTCGGCATCCCATTTTGTGGCTAGCCCAGAATCTTAAGTTCAAGAAGTTACGAGCTCATACTTTTTGGAATCCAAGATTTGTGAGTACATGAAGGGAGGCTGCAAATTAATGTTGAATTTTTCACAAAAGGATTTCTTCCGACGCGGCTTCACGATTAAAACTCGCAAAATGATACGGTATCAATGTTGGAGAGATTGTGGATAGTAAGCAATATGACGCGAAAGAGTGGGTTCTGCTGAGATCCTGGGAACTGTAGGGCTGCTGGACTCGTTAGATTTGAGGGGAGCCTTGCACTCCGAGATTGCTGCATCACACATCACTTCACAATTTCTCGCATATACATTCCTAAAATATGTCTCTACATCAGTCTTCCGAGAGATCAGAATGTGTTGCCCACAACATCCAGCAGGAACTCTTTCCACCGGGCTTCGTATCCTATAGCGTTTCAATAGCCGAGCAAGTGACTAGCCATCAATCAACACCCGGGAGAAGGGACGGAACGAGAAATACTCTATAAGTGCCAATAATGGTGGTAGAATTGTGGAGGTGAACAGTAGTTACGTTTCGTAACTGGAGTGAAAATCAAACGCTGCGACATCTCCGAGCACGAATTTTGTGGTTTTTGCCCTCACCATTTCCAAGGACTACAAAGGCTGTTGACATGTTCCATAATTACGTTTAGTATGGTTTAATGGTTTGGTGGTCGTACTGTCTTGGCAGCTGTGTTTCAGGTGTAATCCGCGGTGGTCCATGGCTCTTTTTGAGGCGATTCTTGGCATTATGCAAACCAAGCAAACAATACCTTCGGATTAGGCTTCAATTCGTGCGAATCGATGAACTGGTGAATTGGTAGTTTCCAGTAAGCCCTAACTAACTGTGCAATAAGCTGATCGGAATATTATGGAAGATCAACATCTACTGTGCTCCGAAGCTACTTCAGCAAACACACCCCTTCTATCAATTCCTTGATAAACTCAAGCTTTTCACTTGTTTCGCAATCCAAGTATTGCAACAACTGCTGTTCGCTTTAGAAACAAAACTTGACTTCAGTTTTGTAAACTGGAGGTGGTCGATTACACGTGTCACCTCACGCATGTCAAAGTGCACGCACGAATATCAACTCGGATGGATCGGAATCTACGTCCAGGCAGACAGTTGTAAAATGCGAATTTGATCGTCGTTATTTAAAATTTGAGGCAATATACGTGGAAGAAAATCCTGTGCGTCAAGTGCACCTGATTTTGCGATACGAGAGCCCTACATCATAAATTAGAGAGGTATTACGAAAGCAGAAGACAGAATGGGAGGCGAAATCACACAGGAAATGATTCGGAGACGTTCAGAGCACAATGAATGTGTTCTGTATACCATGGAGGTAATCTTTATTTAACCAGGGCATAGTTGACATGCTTGTATTTAAAAGAGGTGACCATATTCTATGCTACGTGTGGTGGCTGTGCTTTCATCTTCCCTTCTAACTCATGAACTTTGATGCAGGAGCTAGTCCTACAAGAGGAGTCTATCGAGAGAATAGATAAAACGCTGGGCATCTTGTGTCCACATCTAAAAATACTCTACATGCCGAACAACCTCATTCCTCGTCTCCGTAAAGACTTCTCATTTGGATCTGTTTTTATAAGGTGTTCCGTGGACAGAGTAGATTTTACCAGTAATTAGGGTGGATATAGATGATAATGTTATTAGTGTTTTGATGAGGATTATATGATTAATGTTCATAGAATACGATTAGAGTTGCAATTCTCTACTGTCAGGCAAGTTCTGAAGTCTGCATTACTGCTTCAACCTATGCAGAGAATCTGCACAAATTAAAAGAGTTGGAATACCTCAACATATCTCTGAACAATATCCTCAAGGTTTGTATGCGCCATTTTAGGGTCACTGCCGAGGTCACTGAGTAGCTCTTATGCGTACATGGGGGATTTGGTGGATATCATTCTTTACATGATGCACTTCGACATGAATCTTAAAGCTGGTTTTCCGAAGGTACTCAGAGGTTGCGGCAATGATTTTGTTGCAGATAGAAGGCCTGGAAAAATGTGAACAACTGCAGAAGTTGGATATGACCCTCAACTTTGTGGACATCCAGAATTTGCCCTCTGTTTGCTCCTTGAAAGTTAATGTCCATCTGAAGGAATTGTAAGGGCGTGAGATTCTTACCTTTTAGTGGTATTTATCAAAATTGATTGCTTTCTTCTGAAAAAATTTTCGCTGTTAACATTTAGAAACTTCAAATTCGTAATTCAACCTGTTTGGGATTGGAAAAGATTCCTCACAGGAAATCCCTGCACCGACTGGGATGGATACCGGAATTATGTCATTGCGAAGCTCTCGCATCTGAAGGTACCGACGTCATATGTTTACCTCATGGCTGTATGTTCACAATTGGAAGGAGACAAGGATTCATTTCATATTGTTGATCATCGATATCCAGTCAACACAGTCAGGAACAATAACTATTTGATGTGTCTAATTGTGGCTTGAAGCGCTTGGATGCGTGGGAAATCAAACCCAGAGAGAGGATTATTGCACTTCAGGTAAAATAGTGAGTATGCTTTTTTAGCAGAATGTCTTCACTACTTTCTTTTCATCACTTACCGAGACAAAACAGTAATCAACGTTGTAAACCTCGGTGTGCTCTCAACCACGCAGGAAATCCACCATCTTGAAGAGGACTTGCAAGCCATGGGTTCATTCGCTTCATCTGATTTAGTCAAGGCTTCCGAAACACCTCAAGTGTAGGTACAAGCCCAACACTCATTGACCAAAATCACACTAGAGAAATTGTCGAATTGACAGAAAGGAAGTTCCAGTAGTCACACCTTGCTTTCAATCGGTGATTACTAGTATCTCTTCATATTATACTTCCGTTCAAGTTACTGATCCCATGCGGGTCATTCTGTAATACAAAGATTAGGAGGGACGCCAAAGGAGAGCTCAAACGAACTTACACACCAGATACACGCATCGCTGAGCATCGTGAGCTCAAGGAGCTTCGACAGGAAGAAGAGAGGAAATCTCATGTTAGAACTCCTCTATCTCAAATCGTTTGTGTTGAAATAGATAGCATCAATTGACAACAATGTTGGTGAGGAAAACTGCTAAGGAAATTCTTCTATGCTGCCTTTTTGTAGCGCCCAGATAGCCAGGTGAAGCCATCCACGCGAAGAAAGGGCTTCGATCCTCTTCCAGAACATGGACAACGGGTTTATCAGCGAAATGAAGGAGGGTATGATTCGCATCCATTAACTATTTATTCTTGTTGAGGACTCGATTTCGTGAGAATCAATATTTACATCGTTATTCTCCCATGAGATTCTCTTCATACTGTAGAGAATCCTCTTAGATAAGTTCATTCATTAGAATTATATATTACTCAGCAGCAAACGGATCTTGGCATTCCTAGCATGATGTGTTTATTATAAAAGTAAACAAGTCGATCGCATATGATGTTGCGAACACCTAGAGCAAAATGAAAAAAAGTTGCTCCTCACAAACAGGTGGGAGTTCAGATTGGATGAAAGTGATTGTGGAAAAAATATAGTTTTCGATATGGCAATTTCGAAATTCCTTGACACTTCACTTATCGATATTGATGTGCAACCGCGATTAATAAGGGTATTGATCAAAGGAAAGCTTATGCAACTTCACCTGCCAGCTGAAGTGAGCACTTCCCATAAATTACTGTCTTCTAGACTACCAAATTTGAGATGTCAAAATGGTGGTGGATCTTCATTGTAAGTCGTGGTTCCGAATGAGTGACAAATATTTGGACCGCCTATTTATTCGTAGTGGGTAGAGCGTCATCACCACTCAAGTAGGACTTGATTAATTACCTGAATAGTAGAGTACTGACCATTCCGTTTCGCACAAAGTCGCAAACAAGGCCACCTACTGTTGCAGGCATATTAATAGTGTGGGGGGGTTACAGGTGAGGACAGATGCAAGTAGTGCAGAACGTTCTCTGACCAGTGGTCATTTGGTTGTTACGATGCCGCTGGTCACTCCTAACAATGGATACAAGTACAAGTGTTCGCCGGATTATTATGTGACTAAACCTAAGCTAAAGAAAGTTAACGATACACCACGTCCGCAGCTGGGGACATTCGAGATCGCCAAACTCACAATGGATACACAACCATTTGAACGTGGTGAAAACCTGAAGGAGCGTTCTCACACCAACTGCATCGACCTTGTGAAGACCAAACCGCCATGGCCACCAGCAGTGGAACAACCTGATTGGGCTGAAGACGTGCCACAATTGGAATAAGGTACATTTGAAAGCAGAACGTATGAAAATACCACCTTAATACAACCACATCAACAACAGCCCGGAGCCCAGCGATTCTCGCAAAATATAACCCACATGCTGAAGTATTACAGGTCCCACCATGTTCAGGCTAAAATCCACCCTCAACAAGCTCTAAGGAAGTTCAACCGGCTCCTCCAAATCATATGCACAGTTTTCTTTTGTGCTCACAGCTAAATGTATCGGCATACAGAAGTCTCGATTGAGAATACCCATAGTTCGCAAAGTTGAAATTTAAACAAACAATGACAGGAAAAACTCATGTCCTGCCCTGCAAATCAATGGACGTGCAACAATGCTTAAAAAAGTGTACAATTTTATTTCAATATTGCAATAAAGAGAGCAAGACTTCAAAAAAAATAAAATAGAAACAAACAAACTCTCTAAGCTTTACATATAGATTTATATCCATAAATATGCCAGGAAGTCCAGCAGACTCATGAGCTCCAATTATCATCTGATCTGCAGACTAGTTTTCCACCCTGCATAACACCTTCAACGAATCTACAGTAGTCCCAGTAGCAAAATAATAAAAAAATAAAAAACCCTCGGTCCTCTCACAGCTCTTTAAAATTATACCATGAGAAATGCTTCGAGACGAGATACGACAAATCACGATGCCTATAAAAAGCTTCTAGATTCACAAAAAACCCTAGTCTAGAAAAATGACATGGGGTCCATTGAACCTGGAGAACCAGTTCACCAGCTCTCTCTTTTTATACCATTTTTGTAGCCGACTCAAATGACAACTAAGCTCAAATACCTGCAGAAAGACGACCAACTCATCAGCAAAAAATGTGAGACATGGTTTCATAAAACTGACCCACCATCTTCCCCCCACTGCAATATGGAAAAAGACATGAATCATGTGGCTCATACAAATCAGAAGTGCTAAGTTCCAGAAAAAAATCTGATTAAGCATCTGACATCGAAAGCCTCAATGAATCATGTTGGACATGTCTTTCAATGGAATCGTTCACAGAATGTGTCAAGGTGAGTGAGATGAGATGAGATGAGAGCTTTACTTTTTGCAAGAGCGTCGGCCTTTGCGGTGAGATTCTGGACCAGGTCAGTGAAGCTCTTCTTGAACGATGCAACGCCCTCGTGCTCCAACTGGTTGCCGACATCCTCCCACCGGATGCCCAACTCCTCAACCTTGTCGTAGATCCTCTCCGCCCCTGGCAGGTCGGCGTCGATTGTTCTCGCCACCACCCCATGGTCGACAAAGGCGTTCAGTGCCCCATCAGGCATGGTCGTCACCTGTGAAAGTGTGCATGCACTGGTCAGACTTGCAATGGGAGAGCCGGTGAAAGGTAAATCTTGTTTCATATCCTGGTGCTATTGAGGAAGGATGCAGAGCAGAGATGTATACAGTCTACTACACTGCAGCTCTGACCCAATGAACCAATACTTCTCAAATTGAACTTACTGTGTCAGGTCCGATGAGGGGATTGACATAGAGGGTGTCTGGGTAGGATGGGTCTTTCACACCAGTGGAAGCCCACAGCACTCTCTGTTTCTGTGCCCCACGTTTTGCCAAGGCTTCCCAACGCGGGCCTGAAAACTTCTCTTGATACAATTTGAACGCTAACGCAGCCTGTGCGTTTGCAGCCTGCACCCTCTCAACGATGTGAGAACATTATGACGGAAGGCTTTCTTAACACACTTGTTCTAGATGTGGTGTGGATACGTTAAGAACAGATTCTAACAACGGATGCGTGACATGTAATTTAAGAATGAATGCAAGTTTAGCAGCACATGAGTACTGACACATTCGTGAGTTTTTATCTCGGTAACTACGCGACTATTTGAAAACGCTGCAAAAAGATTGATTCTGGTACCTTGCCCTTCAGCTCAAGTGCCTCCTTTGTGCCGATCGCGTTCAACTTCTTGTCAACTAAAGAATCCACACGACTGACGAAGAAAGATGCAACACTTGCTATCTTGGACAGATCTCCTTGAACTGCCTCAAGTCCCGCAATGTATGCATCGATTACTTTTTCATATCTCGCTAGGGAAAAGATAAGCTGCAAAAGAATTTATATAAGTTAAAACATCAGATACAAGCTTAAACAGAAGTATCTCCAATATTACTTCGTAAATGCTAACAAAGGTAATGGTAATAATAATATAAGTAGTAGTAGTAGTACTAAAATACCCGACTTAACAAACCAGAAAAATGTTTACGCATTCATCTTACTGCAACCCCAACATTCTAAACCTGTGATTCAATAGTGTAGAAATACACAAACAGCTTAAAATCAAAAAGTATCTTCTATAGTTACATAGGTTGTGAGTGCAAGATAAAATGCTTACGGTGACATTAACGCTGATGGATGAAGCGATAACTTGCTTGATTGACTCAATGCACTCAAGAGTGGCAGGAATCTTGATGAGAACGTTGGGTCGGTTCACTCGCTTGTGTAAATATTTGGCAGAATCAATGGTTGCTTGAGTTTCATTTGCCAACAAAGGGGAAACTTCAACAGAGATGTAACCATCACCACCAGCACTCTTTTCATAAAGCGGTAAAAACAAATCACATGCATCCTGAATGTCTTTGATCACAAGCTCCCAGTATGCTTCTTCCACATTCTTGCCCTCTTTGATGCATTGCCTGCAACCCAAAAAAGCCGAGGGTGTAAAGCTTTTGACGTGAATACTTATAACCGAAAAGTAAATATTTCCGGCTAACCACACGGGCAGTACAATGCATTATGAAACAACACGATGTAAATATGTTCTGGAATCTCGACGACGTAGGCATGAAAAAGTTTGCTGATCCCGCCACAAGCTTTACTTCAAGTGTTTGAAACATTCCAGGCTAATACTGAACTAAGGAAAAGAGACGGTAATTAATATGAAAATACCTGAACTGATCATCGTACTCGGCGGATCCTGTGATAGCTTTTTCAAAAATCTACATATCAAGAATGAAGAGTAAGACGAAATGCTTGTAATAGGCAGACACCGTTACTCAATTCAAAGATGCCTCAGCAAAATAGAACTAACACAGTTATCGACTATACATGCATTTGCGCATTCCAAATTAAGGGATAATCACAGCTTTCTCAGTGGCAAACGATTTGATGAAAAAGCGCATACCGTTGGGTTGCTGGTAACCCCACGTACACCACTTTTGATAAAGGGTTCCAACATGGTCACTGGGCGACGAAGATTGTCATACCAAGGGCTCTGCTTCTGCTGGTCATACATGTCGTGCAAAAGAGTCTTCTTCTCAGTTGAGAGAGTATTCCAACATCTGCAAATAAACCAACGAGAGTACGGAGCTACAGATCATTAGAACAGTATCAAAAAAAGAAAACTAGAAGTTGACGATTTTTCAACAAACACAAGGATATATATGTATACATATATATATATATATATATACACATTTCTAGAGTCACTGGAAGAGTTAGTTGCCGCAATTCAGCAAGATAACAAACGAAATTAATGAGCGCAAAATCATTTGTAAGAATGATCGCAGTAGGAAAACTTTAAAAGCCGATCGAATAATCTTACTTAGCCAACTGCGACAATGGCGCTGAATTCACCGGCGTGACCCGGGTGATGAAAGACGCCGCTCTCAGCGACGGCATCATCTTCAAGCCAACAAAGTTCCCTGAGGCAAGAGTCGTCCCATTCGTCCGACTCTCGACACTAGTTCCAATGTTAGTTCCAACTATCACAGACGAGCAGTGCATCTTTAGAGCTGCCATCTCGAAAACCTGAAAAGACAATCACAATTTCTGTCAGCAGGACAAACGAGAACAATCTACCAGTTACTAAAGATACCCAAGAGGAATGTTCTGTTGCCTGAATTTGGAAACAACGTCAATCTGACTGATTAGCACCGAAACGTTACGTCTTATTCCTCTCCTGCAATGCCACGTTATCTGTGTAGACAAAAATGAGACAGAACTAGTAGTTACGAAAATACTGATAATGCAAGGCTTTCTGTTTTCTTAGACCTCTCGATCGCTGTTCTACAGCAGTTTTATGCCTCCAACAAGACCAAACAACTTGCTGACAGTCCCAGAAGTCATATATATGTTAACGCCATGTATACTACTACATGAGAATCCATGAACTTTCTCAGAAATGCGATGTTCTAGTAGGATCGCAAGAGAGGAAAACAAACAAAGCAACAACAGAACCTGATTCAACACTCGATCGGTCTGTTACAGCAACCCCACTCAAGAACGCCCACTCAACCGAAGACATCCCAGAACCCAAATAACAGCAAATCAACCCAATAAACAATCCATCTGCAGCAACCCTACAACAACATACTATCACAGGGCATCAAAAAAGCACAAACAAAGACTCCAACACGTGATCGTCACAACACATATGACACGCTCAATGTCTACGTTAAGCAACTGGCAGTAGCAGCCAAACACGAACCTAAGCTTCACCTTCCAGAGTCTGTTTCGTTGACAAGGATGGCAAAGACAGCGATCGAGAGCGAGAGAGAGAAGAATACAGAGAACGACAGAAGAATGATGAGGTTTTGTAAGCAAGAGGATGATGAGAGTGGGTCAGACAGGACCACTGTAGTAGCACAGGTCGCCGCGACACTTCGCCAAGTCAGGGCTCCCCTGAAAAGCCTAATTTACCTTCAACGTTTGGCTATTTCCCTAGAAACCTCGCCCGTGCGACTGCTGACGACGCCCACATCACGGGTGAACGCCGTCCCCACTTGTCCTCGAGCTTGCACAGGCACCTACAGGACCCAAATTTGCAACACGTCAATCCTATCGACCTAAGGGTGAGGGTGGGTCTATTCTTAGCAACTCTAGGGAGACGATAACCAAGTCGCCGCGACGCCAGTATCTCTGCCACCGCAGTGGACATTGAACACAACTTCAACTTCGAGCACCTTTTCATTTCGACGGCGAAAAGTTCTATGCCCATCATCCACGCTCACGATGTCGCAAACGCGGCGGTGATGTGTTTCCTAAGGGACACAATTTTCACGGGTGTGTTTTGTCTCAATCGATGTTTCCGACCTCACAAGTAAAAGATAGGGTAAATCAAACGACAGTCTAAGATACTGCAATCTCACGTGGGACCTAACTATTACTGTGAGAAAACCCTATTTTTACGTGAAGAGTATTTCTTGGGCAAACCGTATCTTCAATTTTCTTCTGCGTTCAAAGTGAATTAATGGCATACGGAATAGGTTTCAGATTCAATGCCGAAACGTTCATATAGTACCCAAATTCGTCCAGATCCCCGAATGCATGTTATTGTTTGAATGGTTTCCATACCTTTGGGGTTATTTTAATTTTATTTTTTTTCCTGCATTCGAGTGTCCTCGAGAATCTGCACGGCACTGGGGTGGTTCTGGGATGAGAACGCGCGACCCATTTTTTCGCTGAGTTGATGGATGTTACCCTCAAGGGTTGCAGTGTTGTTTCTTCCTTTGGCATAGCCAAGGGTTAGTGTGGTTTGCAGAGTGTCATGGCCATTGCGTTTCTATCATGATAGTGGCTGAGGAGTAGGCACTTGGTGCATGGAGTGCCAGTATGAAATCTCGTTTTTGTAAGGATCTTAGTTGCTCCTGCTCTCAGGTGTGGTATGGGATTGAAAGGGGAGCATATTTCGCCCAGATTGTGAAGTTTTGAAATGTGAGTGCGATTTGTGATGCGTGTGTTGCTATTTAAAGGTGATTGATTTGTTGATTCAGAGCGTCGGCTTCCTGGTAATTTTGTAACTGGGTCGTTTGGTCGGACCCAGATCGCTGATGGTTTCGTGTTTTTAGCTTTCCTTGGTCTGTTCCTTGGGAGCGACCTTATGAGATGCAATGTTAAAGTCACTAGATCTGGATTAGCCTGATTTACAGTCGCGAATCTGCTGATAGTTTTGGAACTCGTGCGCCAAATCTGTGGTATTTTGCATCTGGGCGCCTGATATCTCTATCTGTTGGAGGCTGTGGAGAAGTTGGTCGTTTTTTTGTGGGGTAGGGATTTTGCAACTTCTCTTAGCAGAGATTTCTCCAGACTCGGTTGAAGTCAGGGTTGGAGTTGTTGGAGCGCGCGTCATTGTTGAGAAATTCAAACCCTAATGGAACATTTTCCTGGTAATTACAATTTGTAGGTCGCCAAAGCGGTCGATGGTAAAGTCATAACAAATTGATCTCATGCTTCAATATCAACAGAGTGTTGCATTTGCCAATCTGCAAGATACTGCAGAATCAGAGTAATTGAACTGAGATACTACATTGAAAGTGTTTTAAAGCACTGGTGCATTTACACTATGGGTCAGATGGATACTTTCATTCTGTTCTGTTCCATCTCCTTGGAACAGCATTGCACACGAGTAGGACCTCGTGTTGATGAAGCTTGTTTCTTGAGAGGCAAGAAATTAGCTTGATCATGATTTTGCACTTCAATTTGTCTCAATGTATCGACATGAGAATTTTTGTCAACAAACTGCTGCATTAGTAACCATTTTGGTGCGTCTTTGATTGCAGCTTTATATTCAATGAAAATCTGAGGCGCCACTTCTGCTTACCTCAAATCTAATACTACAGTAGATGAAGAGGCCTTTCATCTGCTAAACGTGGCCATTCTGGCCCTTCGTTGACATTCAACCTTCATTAGGATGCATTTTCTTCTATTTTTCCTTTGAGCATGAAGGGAACTGAGAACCAACGACAGGGTAATAATGTATTGAAGCTGACACCAGTGCACCATTATATGGATATGTCAGATTAGATTTGGTTTTCTCTTTCTCAACAGGAAGCAGAGATTCCTTCAGAGAGGGAGCTGAGGGAACATGGAACTTTGGAGGCTAGCTCATCTGTTCGAACCCGCATTTCTAGCCTTATTCGTCACTACAGTGGCTGTGGTGTTGGCTTCGGCCCAGCGAGCACTAGCATTCGAGAAGGAGGGTGAAAGGCATCGGGATTATGGGGGAGGGGCGAGCCAGTCTGAAGTGGTGGTCACACTTGACACCTCACAAGCATTGCTCATCCCCATCACATGTTCATGCTCCTTGCTCATCATGTTCTATCTCTTTTCCTCAGTGTCCATGATTGTCATGGGCTTCACAATTCTGTCATCGGTATTCTCCCTGGGTTTTGCATTGGCACCCTACGTGGCCGCTTTGAATGCTCGAGTAGGGGATGTTGTAGTTGTGAACCGAAGCTGGTTCGGGCCTATTACTCGCTCTCAGGCAGTTCTTACAGTATTTAGCGTAGGGGTGGTGGCAAGCTGGATGGTGACGGGCCATTGGCTGCTGAACAATGTCATTGGCATCTCTCTCTGCGTTGCATTTGTGAGCCATGTTCGGTTACCCAACATCAAAGTCTGCGCCCTGCTTCTCGTGTGTTTGTTTGTGTACGATATCTTCTGGGTTTTCTTCTCAGAGCAGTTTTTTGGCTCCAATGTTATGGTCACTGTGGCCAGTCGGCAAACTTCCAACCCGGTCCACACGGTGGCGAGCTCCTTGAACATGCAAAGATTCTCGGAGGTTGTCGCCAAGAAGCTAGACCTGCCTTTGAAGCTTATTTTCCCTCGCAATTTATTCTGGGGTGCATCTGGTGGGGCTTTTGGCGGCCAGTTTCTCATGATCGGGCTTGGTGACATGGTAAGCTTATATATTGCTCAGATCTTAGTGCAAGAGAATCAAGCGATTAGATTTTCACAAATGTTTAACGTCATCGGCTGAAGCAGAATCATATGCATGATCTAATTCGCTCAATCCAAATCTTCAACTTGTTGGTCCAGTCACAGTTAGCAAACGAACGATGTTGAATTGAAATTTTACATTGGTTAAGATCTAATGTCGTTATTAGTTTTAGTGTATAACTTGCTTGTAATTCCTTTTCGAAGCTCTTGAAGGTATGCTCACAATGCAGAGAATGTACCGTGGGTTAATCAGATGTAGTCTTTGACGAACAAAGCTGGTCTCTGGTTGCAGGCTATTCCAGGGATGCTTTTGTCCTTGGTACTCTGCTTTGATCATCGGAAGGTCAGAGAATATGACAATGAGGGCTCTTTTTCGAGAGGAAACAAGTACATTCAATTTGGGGGATTTGGCTATGCGGTTGGCATGATTGCAGCTCTGGCTGCAGGTTTGTTGTCCCAATCGGCTCAACCTGCACTTCTCTATTTGGTACGATTGAGTAGAACGTTGCAAAGCTTTCGTGGGGAACAATGTCTAGTATCTAATCCAAGAGTAATGTGTGAAGAAATAGTCTTCATTTTTGGCTATGCGTGAAGAAATCTGCACATGTTTATCAAATTTCTCAAAACTGGGTGCAAACAGTAGGTTCTGTCATGATATGCACCTTCATCCAGCTAATTGGCAAACTTGCTTGTTTTCCGTATTCGGAAAATTACTTGTGGAGGTTGCAATGTGTTTATTTTTCAATTTTAACTCGAGCATTGTGATGCAGGTACCCAGCACTTTAGGATCAATTTTATGCGCTGCATGGATGCGAGGTGAACTTGCTGAGCTTTGGAGTGGTCCGAGGCCTATAGTTACCGAAAAGACTAGTTTGATGGAGCCGTGAAAGTTAAGTTTTTTTTTAGTGTGATTATAATCATTGTTACTTCCTATTTTGCAACGCAAAGGGTGATTTTACATCTCATGTTCAATGCTGGAAACATGCTTCCATTATATAATCCAACATCGTCTTCATTTTGCATATACTAATCTTTCTACTCCAGTTACTCTAATTATGGACCATGGAACGATCAAAACATGTTTTGCAAATTGATACATCAAATAACAACTATTAAATTGTATGGTCTAGTTATTTTTTATTGATTACAATTGCATTCTCTGTCTATGAAAAAATATTGTTTTTATTCAAGCTTGTTGATGTCGAACACAGTTTTCCAGCAATATTTTTGTTGTATGATTGGCTACCAAGAAGTCCTCACCGGGAGTAAAAATGGAGTAAAAAATGCGGTTATTTGTTTTTTTCCGCGTCCCTGGTTTATAAGGCCCTCGGCCGTATTATTCCAGAAAAGCACTACATTTATTACCATAGTTCTATCTAGGGTGGCGTGGTCCTAAGTTAAAATATCGTAGCCCGTCTTCCATCCATCTTCGAAAGTCTTCACCTTGTAAATTCTGCGCTGTCGCTGTGTATACTTCAAAGGCCACCCTACTACCCTGTATTCTTTGTCTGTTATGCAGTAGGTTTTCTAGGTCATCCTGCGTGTTTGTGGTAGGGTGATTGGTCTCCCTTGTGATGCGTGCGTCCTTTGTCATGTTTCTGTTTTCCATTTCCGCTTCTCTGTATCGATCGGCTTCTACTGCGGCCAGGAGATCATCGATTTCGTTCTGGAGCACTGCGTTACGGAAGTTGGTAGTGTTTGGACTGGAACGTCGGATCAACTGAGACATTGGATGTCTGCGGTTGACTTGTGAAAGTAGAAGCCTGTGACGCTCTAGTTGTTGTTGTCTGATATCCATGTAGTGTTGTGGTGAATCGAGGGTTGTTTCGCGATGCTCCTCTCCATCACTTTCTTCATGATAATCTTCGCTTGGCCGCGCCGATATTTGTTGCGGTAAGATTTGCTCTTCGTGTTCAGTGTGTGGAGTTTGTTCCTGTGCTTGTTGATCAAATATCATTGTTGTATCATTGGCTACCATCAACTCTAAAAAAATTATCATTATTTAGAGAATTTCTTAAAGCTGAAATAAAAGTATGTGAGAGTGGTGAAGACAAAATATTGAAATCCTAAGGTATAAAATTGAACTGAATTTCCTAATTCCAATTCAAGATTTTTGCTGTCATTTTTGAAACTCCCGTGTCAAGTTTAGTCAAGCAAACTAATTATTTTTTCTTGAAAAAATTCAGTGTAGAGAAATTGGTTCTAACTAAAAAAAAGTATTATAATTTGCAATTTGGTATGTTAATAATCACTATCAAATTCAAAGATATTAGTAGAAGATATAATCCATTTTTAAATTTCTAAAATTTGACAAAGCCAATTTTTGTTACCAAAAATGATAATGATTATTATGCAATAAAAACTTTATCTTTTACTTTTAAAAAATTGATTGTTTTTGCTTTCCAATAGAGACAATTGACTTTGTAATATGTTAATATTCTCTATTTTTTCTACCTTCAATGCTATATACTACAAGAAGGTTGCAACTTATAACATTACAAAAAAATATGGTTGAAAAATTATTGAGTGCCTATAGGTACATTTGTATTTTTATAGCTACTCTAATCTTTACTAAGGTATAATGTGGAGTTCTACTTAAAAATAAGAGTTCTTATTCTACATACTTTCAGTTTATTCATCTTTAAGATTCAAATAAAACAAAATGTTTCATGGCCAATCTAACATAATCAAATAAAGATGTTTAAATGAAAGACATAACAATAACGCCTTAGTATAAATAGAACATATCCACATTTGAGCATCAATTATGTCTAATTTTTAAATCATGGTTTTTATATAATCTATAACCTTCAAAAATTTATTTCTTCTAAATAATTTGTTTAATTTAAAACATTAAAATTATATTTTAGAGCATTTTTTCTATTTTTATGCTCGTAATTTTTTATAATTTTAGCTATAAAGGATTAAAAGAAAAAATATAAAAAATATATTCTTATATTTTCAATTTATACAAAAAAAACAGAAAAAAGCAAACAAACAATAAAGTTTGTATTTAGATTTGAATTTATTAAAAATAGAACTGAAACCAAAGTATTAAATTTTTTCAAAGTTATTTTCAAATCTGAATTTAAAAAAGTAAATCCACAAAAAATAATAGACATCACAGAACAATAAACCTTCTAACTAACTTTGTAGCAAACAATTTATTTTTATTCTAACATAATGTATTTGATGTGCCTAATCCTACAAATAGTAATAATAATATTATCTATGATATCTTCTTACTTTGTTTTAAGAAAAATGTAGTAATCATTACCTTCTACACAATACTCCAATGTACATTTTTTTATTTACATTGTTATATGTTCCATCACTTATATTTAATACCGTTTGCATCTATATATATATACTTATGATTCTATTTAAATTTATTGGTATACCAATTTGAAAACATTATGATATTTTTAATTCTATATGTTTTAATTATAAATAAAGTAAATATATGCTAAATATAATGATATAAATTGTAATTTATAAATAATGAATAAAGATCTTAAAATCATTAATACAAGATCTACTTTTTAATATGTATATATATATATATATATATATATGCCTTTTTTTGAAGATGTAACTCTTATCTCTCTTAAAAAGTTGCATATTCTGGTTATTATACACATGTCATCTTTATCTTACTCATGAAATTATTTAAATTTTTTTCTTAGTTTTTTTTTTCTTCAAAACTTCTTGTTAATAGAATCTTTTTATACACATAATTTTGATTAAAAATTTACTATTATAATTTTTTTTCAATATTATAAACATTTTTTCCATTAAAAAATATATTTTAACTATAAAATTTATTTTTTATTTATTTTTATATTTTTATGTAATATTTCAATGTTGTTTTGAATATATACTAAAATACATATGTTTTTTACTATTTATCATAATAAGACTTCAATAACAAGAAATAAATATAATTTTTATTTGTGATTTTTTTATACTTATCAATCATATCTTTTTTTAGGTTTTATTTAAAGAGTGCAACTTTTTGCAACAACTTTATTATACAATGGATGGCCAAATGCTCTTAAATTAACTTATAGAATTGTAAATTTTTAATTTATTTTAAGATGGTTTATATATAGAAATTAATATAATTGTAGATATTAAAGTAGTAATTAAATCTAAAAATGATAAGTAAAAAAGTTCTTTGTATACTATTAAAATTCTTTCTAAATAAGTGATAGAAACTTAAAAATATTTGTATGTTCTAGTAAAATTTGAAATTTTGATGAAATTAGATAAAACTATTTGTATGTAGAAAATTAATATTTAAATTGTGGTTTAAAAAAGAATAATCTTTGATAATTGTGCAACAAGAATTAATGAATTTTAGATACATAAATAAAAATTCTAAAATAAGATTTATAAATGTTTTATAATCTTTTAAATTTTTTATAATGATAAATTTAAAAATTATATTTATGAAATATTTTATACTATTTTAGTTGTATTATTTATATTTTTTTATTATATTTATCAATTAAATATAATTTATTAAAAATTTATTTAAAGACAATAATCACATCATTAAGTATTATCTAACAAGAATGTATTATACAACATCTTTTTTTTGCTATGATTTATTAAAATAAAATTAAGTTTTATTCATCTATAAAAAAATAAATGTAATTTTTATTAAATAATTATTTCTTTTATAACACATTATACTTCTAAGACAATAAAAAATAAATCAAAAATATTTTATAATCTTCTAAAGTTGTTATGATAGACTCAAGTATGTAACAAAATATTAACAAAATTAAAGTTTGGTTTTGTATGTCACAAACATACATATTTACTGCAATAATCACCTATATAATTAAATAGAAGTAAATAAAAGTAAATTAATTTCATAATATATTATAGAAAAGCTTTTTAAAAGCTTTATAGACACTATTTTGACTTTATACATGTTTGTAGTTAGTTAATAGGCTAAAAACTTGGTCAAGAAGTTAATCACATGACACATGTATTAATAACTATATAGTGCACATATAGAAGACTTACCTCGCAAGTTAAATCATGTATCTAACATTATCAACACATGTTGGAGGTCCTATAGAACGTCACTATATAGCTCCTAATTAATAGTATATATAGAGGCAAAAGTGGAGCCTTCTTCACTCTTGTCAATGCCTTTTTAGTTCTTAGTCTTGTTTCAAGACTTTCTAGCCTTCTTGTCTTAAACAATAGCTATTATAGTTTAATATTACATCATCTTTAAGTGATTATCTAATCTTTTTAAGTGACACAAGAGTGTCTTGATCTTTTAGTTTTTCAAGATTCATGTCCTTAATAATCTAATAAGAGTACCAACTTATTGTTCTTATCTTGTTTTAGAAGTGAGTAGATTATCCCACTTCTATTGTTGTATTTTGAAGATTGTAGAATACCCCTTTTTGAATAAATAATTTAATTTTTAACATTAATTTTTTTCTTAAAAAAATAAATTATCCCTCTTTGTGGAAATTTTTATTTAATATTAGAAGTTATAGATTATTCTTGTCTAATTTAAGTTTTTTAATTTATTTGAGTTGTCTATAGAAGAAAAGATTATGGATGCTACTCTCAATAGAAGTGAAAATAGATTTGCAACTATTACGAATCTTCACGAGCTTATCAATACTCTAAGAATAAAAATCTCACATATTTTTAATATAAATTATAGAAGTACTATTCCTATACATATGGAAGAAGTCTAGAATCTATGCGAAGAAGTTGTATAGTTGAAGGAAGCAAGTAGATCAGCATTACAATCAAATCTAGGAAGTCTTGCTTCTACAAGCATAAAAGAGACAAGAATTAGTATATCCAAGAAGTTTGATGGAATAAGATCAAAATTTTGAAGATTTCTACAACAAGATAAGCTCTATTTGAAATTCCATCTTTTCCAATATCTTAATGGATTTACTCAAGTTGGATTCATTAATGTACTTTTATTAAGAAGTATTCTCTCTTAATTTGTACCTTTGATGGAAAAAGATTCGTGACTATTT